TTAGAATGTTCTAGAAGAAATTTCATTGTGCAGTTGACCTTAGGACAGGAAGTACGTGACAGAAGGGTCAAAGGTTGCCACTTAACTTTCAATGCAAGTCATTCAGGATGGCGATTGGAGGGTCCGGTTGTTGGCTAATTGAAGAGGGGCGCACATGCGCGTTCACCCTTATTTCCGCATTCAGGGGTTGAAACGCAAATTTTGCCCAAATTAAGGGGGTGATAATTGAAGCCATAGTGGGAGCCCGCATTTGTAAAGGAGAGGAAGAAAATTCGAGTTTGAATCACTTTTTCGTGCGAGACTTACTGTGAGGATGTTACTTTTGAAACTTGCTCTTGGGTTGAGCGATAGGAAAGATGTAATTTACAAAGAGAGATGTTTTTCGGCGGGGAGCGGCAAATATGCTCCCCGGCCGCATTTTGGCTAAGAGGCGAAATTGATAAGTGTACGAGTTCTGCTGAAAGATTTAAAGACTTTTGGACGTTACTTTTTGCCCAACATTGGACCAGTTTTGCTGAAGGATTTAAGACTTTCAAGATTAACATTTTTTGCTGGACTTTCAAAGCTGAAGGATTTGTTAAGTTTCTGGGGTTGAATAAGAGGTAATTCAGAGGGATAACGGCGGACACTATCCGGCCGTCGCCTTGCTGTCAAAAAGAAGAAAAAAATGATCCAGCGAGTATGAAGTATTTTTCTCTCCAGCGATATTAAATCCAAAAAAATTATTGGCCAAGTTCCACCCCGGCCAACATGAGATTTTATACTCGACATCTTGACTGCGAGCTTGAAGATTCTGCTCGGGTGCTGGTTTCTAGGGCTTGTTTTCTGCGATGCTGAGCGAGCGGATTGTGTTGCTGAAAAACAATGGAGTCGGTGTTATCCGGAATTGCGGCCAGTGACACCGAAAAGCGTGAGACTCCTTAGACGCCTGTGTTCCCTTTACGGAATGCAATTTTCCAGGAATTATGGTGGACTTATAATTCCCTGATTTCTCCCAGAATGCAAGGCTAGCCCGAGACCTTTCCGGGTGCGTTTCAAGTCGTCAAAATCACAGATAAGTGCTTTGTTATCAATTTTCCTTAGAACTTTTGGAAATTGGAACTTTACCTTAAATTGAATCTTAAATTAAGTCTACAGAAACTGAATTGCTTCCCTTTTTCCCCTTCTTAATTTACCAAGACAAACTTTAAGGTCCTCATATGAATTAGTATGTAATAGTGTAATTTGTTTGTGTAATCTTCCTTTGAACAGATGTTGAATTGCAGATATGCTTTCTTTAACCTCTTAGAAATTACAGAATGGGTACCCGTTAAATTAAAAGGGTCATGTAATAGATTTGCAAATCATGAATTTAAATGTAACAAAAGAAAATGACAAATTGAAGAATTCACCTGAGTCTAAAATAAGTAAATTGAAACTGTAACAAAAATAGGAAATTTGACTCTCTGATTAGGATAAGATTTAATTTTAATTGTGAGGAATTTGAATAAACTGGTATTTAATCTGGAAACCTATTACTTATGTTTTCTTTATATCTTTTATGTGTTTTTTCTTATATATATATATTGATTTTACATGTTATTTATTCGATCCTCTCACGGCGCGGTCACGGATGCATTTTCACAACGAAATGCATTACCGTTTTACCTATACTATCACTAAACGTGTGGTAATTAGCAAGCTCTTAAGAGTTTAGTTTCTCAGTTGATATTTAGTTAGTTACTGTTTCACCTGTCTGTTTCTGCATTAGTTTCCTCCCTCAGAGGAAGTTGTAACACAGCATTGGTGTCCATGATTTTTACGGCAAAGTATAGAAACAGAACATTGGTGTCATTACTTCATAACATTTCCACAAAACCTACATAGCTAGGTTACCATTTTCACTTACTAAACAGTCCTGTATGCCAAACAGTAATCGATTAATGCTCAGATTGGGATTACGTGATCCTTTAGACGCAGAACTTTTGTCTGATTGGTTGATCTCTACAGAGGACAGAGCCGCAGATGGAACATTTCGGGCAAAGTTTAAAAATATCCTGCGTAGACGGGACATCATTTCCGTAGCTAGGTGGGACTTCACTGTTTCTTCTAGGAACCCTCCCATTTAACTCTCTAAGCGGCAAGGCCATATATATATACAGTATAGAATATTTTTGTGATATCTGTAAGAACGTATATATACGTGCATATTAAAATATGTCAAAGAAATTATGGCAATATATGTAAAGAAAACAAATACAGATATGAAATGCCAGGAGAGTTTTTACATTAAAATCAAAAAAATAATTTGTTCTCATAGTAGTTTTGGGAAATTTGTGCTTTCTTAGGGAAAAACCTGCCCACTCAGAGGGTTAAACCAATGCTACAAGAATCTCCTTTTTTCAGAAAAGTCCCATCTAGCGGGGACCGTCACTAGATGTGACAACCCCTTAATATGGACACAACTTAGAAGAAAGTCCGGCTGATCTTTGGAGTATGGTAACTGGTAGTTTGGCGACATCTTGGAGGCGATAAAGGTACCTAGGACTTTGGTAATAATGCGAGAAGTACTCAGTTCCGATTACGCATTATTTTGTGTGAGGGAAATGAGAGATCATAAGATATGTCATGTGACATTAATGGACGAATTACAGTTCTTTAATCGGAAAAAGGGGGGAAATCTGGAAATTTTGTATTTAGCTTTATTCTGTGTTGTGTGAAATAGTGTTGGTTAATTTTTGGATCCCATGGCCCTAACTAAAGTGAATTCGAAATGGGTATTTAGTGAGATTGAAAGGGGTAGTAATAAGTGTTTCTTTAAGGTTGTGCAAGATAGAAGTAAAGATGTTTTATTAAGTTATTTATTTTACCTGGTACCTTGCTGTGAACTATAAGTATGATTTTAAAGATCCTGAAAAAGGCGCACATATGCTTGCTTTTTATTTAGGGAAGGAAATAAGAAAAGTTTATCGGCCACGTAATTAAGATTTTGAAGAAGATTAGGTAAGTTAGTATTTTTAATTATTTGAGGATATTATTTTTATGCATTGTTCTAAATGTAAGAAGTAAATAAAGTAATATGGTATTATTGGAAAATTGTTATTAGCAATGATTTAGTTTTAAAGTAATTAGGATTGTAAGCTAATTTTTATTAATTTAATGTATGTGCTTATTTATATTTTAAGTAGTGTTTTTGAATTTAATTATATTTTAATTAAATGATAGTTATTTTGTGAATTATATGTTTGTAGGAATTTGGTATATGTTTCAGTGGACGTAAACGTGCATGGAAATAATTTAAATATTTGACACTAAGTATTTGTAACCATTTGTAATATTTGAGGTATAAATTCGTTGGTGACGTTTATAATAGATAATTTAGAGGTAAAAGTTTTTGGATATTTTATACGTGGAAACGTTCATCTTCGGAAAGGGTATATACTTTTTCGCGATCAGGTAATTTCATATATGTTCTTTTTACCGGATTTAAAGATTCACAGAATTTTTTTTGCATTTTTGTGCAAATTTTTGTAATTTATGAGAAAATAGCAGTGTACATGGATATACTGAAGAGTGTGCGCAATGCCATTTTTGTGCAATTCTGGGATTTTTTTTAAGTAAAAATAAGTCGACGTGTACATGGTTTAGTGATATTTTAATTAAATTATAGTTATTTTGTGAATGTTATGTTTGTAGGAATTTGGTATATGTTTCAGTTGAAGTAAACGTGCATGGAAATAATTTAAATATTTGACACTAAGTATTTGTAACCATTTGTAATGTTTGCGGTATGAATTCGTTGGTGACATTTATAATATAATGGATAATTTAGAGGTAAAAGTTTTTGGATATTTTATTTATTTTATACGTGGAAATATTTATCCTTGGAAAGGGTATATACTTTTTCGCGATCAGGTAATTTCATATATGTGCTTTTTACCAAGTTTAAAGATTCAGAGAATTTTTTTGCATTTTCGTGCAAATTTTTGTAATTTATGAGAAAATAGCAGTGTAGATGGATAAAGTTAAGAGTGTGTGCAATGCCATTTTCGTGCAATTCTGGGATTTCTTTTAAGTAAAAATAAGTCGACGTGTACATGGTTTATGTGTATGTGTTATTCCGAAAAACGGGCAAGGAGTTTGCGATTATGCACTTTTTCTCAATTTTGCAGTTAATATTTGTCATGATTAAGCAGTTTTGTTACATAAAATTTCTAGCATTAGTGTAATTCAGCTAGTAGATTGTAGGAAAAAGTGTTCAGTAAATAAAAAGAAATGAAACGTGTCTTTACTTCATGAAGACAAAATGGCAGCGGAAAAAAAAAATAGAGGGTTGCTGTAGCAGAGTTTGTCACCAAATTTTTGCCAAGTTACCATAATCCAAATATCAACTGAAAGTCCAAATTAAATAAATATTTGTTATTACATGTATGGCTTTTTAACGAACAAAATCATATTCTTAAAAGGTGATAAGAAAACTTGAGATTTTTATTCACTAATTATCACTCTGATTAGCAGTTTACCAATTATTTAGGCATGCATAACAGACATGATTACTGGTATAAATTTAATAAGAAATTTATCAATGACATGAAAGGCATAAATGGTAAAAGTTTACAATTGGGTGACCCTTGTTTATCGGCGATTCTTTCTTGACGCCAAGATCGGCGCCAGGAAGGCACAATTTCAAGATGGCCGCTACACAAAACCAAAATAAGTCAAAGAATTGCGCAAACTCAGTTTCCATGCACACATCGATCTGTTTTCACTTAAAAACACATCCCATAATTGCACACACTAGGTATTGCGCACTGCCTTAAATTTGTCATGTACACATCAATCTATTTTCATTAAAAAAAAAAAAATCAGGAAGCTAAAACAAAATTAAAACTATCATGGTAACCAGAAATGAGGTTTCATATCCAAAATTAAAAAAATATATCGCTAATCGAAGGGGCACCCAATTATACACTAGAGACGGCATATAAAATCATTGAAAGTTCAAGTACAATTTATATAACCTCATTTAAATAATTAACAGAAACATCTTTCTCCAATTGAATTACTGCACATATTCCACACATCCTTCAAAATGAAAAATAATTTTATGCTAGAACGGTTTTACAAATTCCTGAACCACATGAACACAACCTGAACCTGAAATACAGTCTGGTCAACATTTCCTACTTAAATGATATGCACTTGGCCAGTTTTCAGTATATTTTATTGGAATGTTAGAATTGTTTACAGACAGACAGACAAAGTAGACAGATGTCTTGTTTTGCACCCGCTTAGTCTTTCTGCACCGATGGGCGAAAAATCAAGCATAGGTGCGAAGGAAAGGTACATAGAAAGAGGAGCAATTTCATATTTGAGGAGAGTAAAAAGGAACTTCGTACATTTTGTACGAGTTCAAAACGCCAGAAAGAAAAGATGGGACAAAATAAAATTTAATATAAATGGCCCAAAAAATAATAGAGGGGGGGAAAGGGCCTACAGAAAGAAAAGGAAAAGAAGTAGAAAATATCCTAAAAATACGATTGTGTCCATGAGTGTAGTTAAAAGGAGTTCATTTGCAAAAATTAGTGTCTTTAGGAAGAAAACTATAGCTAAGTTAAAAAAATAAATAAATAAATGAATTCCTACATGGTAATGTGTATGCCCTTATCTTGAGACCTAGCTAGAAAAGACATATATCATCACAGGGATGTACATAATTTTTTAACTAAAGTAACATTAACTATTACTAAGGCTCCAATATACCAGGCTGAATCATCAGGCATTCGCGCTCCCAAGTGGGAGATTTAATGGTGGCTGAGTGGTTACGATGCAACAATTTTTTGTGTAAAATGGGCGGATGTACAGCTATTAATTGTTCAAATCATTCACGGAAAGGTCATACATTGGTAAAATTTCCTAAAAATGAATACATTGGTGAAAGAAGAAAAATATGGGTAAATAATTGCCGAAGAGACAATTGGAAACCTGGTCCAGGCGCTGAACTTTGCTTAGTAAGTATAATGTTAATTACGCCTTCATTTAGAGTTTATATCTTCTCTGATGTTTATAATGTGCAAGTAAAGTGAAATTCTTGTGTACAATAACCTGAGTATCTGCTAATTTCTGTAATAATAGCTATAATTAAATTAGTCTAGGGTTAATGTACCCGTCGCCAAACATCGCCAATGTAGATGTTTTGAATATGGAAAAGAAATTTCTCTTCTAATATAAAGCGCGGATTTTGTTTTCCTGTGCTAATTGTGGAATTTTATACTAATGTAACATGAAAATCATTAGCATATTGAAATTTATTAAAAAATAATAATAATTTTTGGAAAGTCAAGATAAAATCTGAATGTTTGCTAAAGATATATGTAACATTATACTATAGTTGCAATATCGTTGGAATGATATATAATTTTTTCTTTATTTTATAATCACTATTGTTAAAAAGTTAGATGAGTTGTTTATGCACGGTGCCCACTACTGTTTCTTGGTTAAAATAACTTCCAGAATTTTGACATTGACATCTGAAGTCAATAGAATAAATTGAATAGTGTGAGACAAATATATATAATCTGACTTCAATAATTGCAAGGATTGTGCAAGTTTATTTATAATCACAGTATTATACAATTTGGCAATGGAGTAAAGATTTAGAAATGAATGCAGAACATTCAAATTAGTATTTTCTTGTTTCTAATATATAGAAATATAGTCTATTTTCCAGATAAAAGTTTTACTTAAAAGTATGGGAAAGCAGATTTGTTTCATGCATGATCTTTATAATACTGGTATGAAATGAATGAATTTTAATCTGTAAACAATTTTTTGTTAATATTGAAATGCGTTTCTTTGGGTACATTTTTAGGCACTTGTGGATCATGTCAGACAACATGCAATAGAAAAAAGATGTCCAGTGTGCATAAATTTTTTCCCATTTTGTTATTTCATTTGCTTTATTTGAAGTACTGGATGATTGTGCTGTTTCAGTGAATCTTCATGAATTTGGGTCATGTGTATCCTATATTATTTGTGTATCCTGTTTTTGAAGAATAATCGTTTTATTCATTTTAGTAATGCATGAATAAAAGATGGTATGTGTTTCTTCATTTTATCTATTTCAAGGAATGTCTTTCATTTTTATACGGCATGTTATTTTTCAGTATAAAGGCTAGTGAAAATAAATTGGTATGTGTATCTGTTTTTGAAGTGTAATGCTTAAATAAAAAGATGGTGTGTGTTTCTTCATTTAAACAAAATTTCAAGGATAGTATTTTTCAGTGTTGTACGGTTTGTTATTTCTCAATGTAAAGTGTAACAAGGGGAAAAAAACTGGTATGGTATATCTGTTTTTTAAGCATGATAATTTCTTTAGTGATGCATATATAGAGAGAGAAGGTGTTTGGTCCAACTGAAGTTATAATAAATCTAATTTTACTAGATCTCTCCCTCCCCTCAGGTGTAGAAAATTTTCAAGTGCAGAAAGTTTATTTGCAGAATTAATTCATTTCTGATAAACTTATTATCATTAATTTTTTATATAACATGTTATTAAGTTACACATTTGACTACTGTGTAATAAAATTGTATTTAGGGCAAAAAATTAACTATAATTTTGCATCTGGTGACTAATATCATATGCTTCTAAGAATATTACTTTAACTTTTTCCATAATTTTTGTATTTCAGGAACATGAAACTGTTATTTTGATATACTTAAATAATAAAGGTGTGTATCTGAATCAATTAATGGATACAATATTTTTACAGTTATTTTTAGAAGATATTTGCCATATCGCTTCTAATAATTCATAAAGTATGTTAAAATATAGGTAAATAATTTGGTGCAGAATTCAAATTTAGGGTTTAAAATATAGTCAATCATAAGACTAAATGATTTTTATTGTCATGATTTGCCTGGGCTTAAGAATGTACTTTTCGCCCGGTGGAAATTGTCATCAAACTGTCCTGAACAGGCTTTTTGTTGATAATAACTTCCAGGCTTATCAGTACCTCCTTTTGAGTGGAGGGTATGCAAATATAGTACCCAATTTAAATTACATTGTGATTGTAATAATATTGTAGTATTAAATAAGTGATTATAATTACAATTTAGGTAATTGCATTGTAATTATATTACATTGTATCTGTGAACTCTTAATTTCATTACTTTATGCAATTATGTTGTAAGTGCATAATCTAATTGCAATAATATAATCTATTCGCAATTACAAAATAATTATAAATGCAGTTACATCTTAAATAGAGGCCATTTTAATACTTTTAAATTTTCGCAAGATAACTTCCCATTAAGGTTCATTTGGAGGAAACTATGCAAATACTAAAAAAGAATATTACTACATTTACATGTTATAATATAGCAAAATTTACATATTTTGTACTGTACTTTCTTGTTATAATGCTGTCCAATATATCTTCAATACTTTTGTAAATTTAACGAACATTCTTTGCAATCACTGTGGTGCTTTAAAAAGAAGTTTCTTAGTTATGCTTTCTAATAAGAATGGGTTTAAAATTAAGTATTATGTATAATAACTAGCAATTAAAAAAACTTGACTGCATGAAAATGCTGTTGCTGTGTAAAATAAAAATAAGCTTTCTTTTATGCTTTGAAATGAATTACATGTGGTTAAGTCGTCCTTTTACAATTTAAGAATGTGGTTAACACACATTCTTAAATTGGGACAGGTTTTATCTAAATTATTAGTATAAAATATATAAACTATGAATTATTTTGTAACATAACTCAAATTACAAAATTCATTCTATATACGTTCAAAGTTTATTATCTTTTATGTAATAACTGTTTTTTAATTTAGGTAAAAATTGGATTTTTAGAAGTATTACAAATACAATGCAACACAAAGGTGATCTGATTGAAGAGGGAAGGACTTTTTATTACGGTTTCTAGTTCGTATTTATATTACATTTGGATGAAAAGCATCCAAAACACAGAATGCTGTACTTTCTTCTTCCATATATGTTATGAAATATTTCACACATTTAAAAGAAAAGTGTTTCTTCAGAATCTTGCACAATTATTTCCATGTACCTCAGACTTAAATGACAACATATTCTTAAGTTATTTTTTTAGAGTATGAATTTACAGTGTTTTTATGGAAATTTTTGTTAAAATGTCATTAAGATAAATTTATTTGCACACTCTACGCTTTAACTATTTCCCCATTTGACACTATTGAAAGTTTTTATTCATATCTTATTTATTATTAGTCTGCTAACGAAACTGAAACATCTAAAGAATAAGTTATTTTGAATATGTTTACAAAATATACGCGAAATTTTTATTTAAGTGAAAACGTCTATATACTATTCGAGAATTAATAAATTATCCGAAAAGTTTATATGCGCTGAATACCGCGCGTCTATAAAATAAATCTTTAAAAAAACAGCAGACATTCAGCTAGCGTGTGCGATAAACGCGCCAAAATTGGCAGCGCGTTCACTCCCTCGCCAAGAGAGAAACGTTGGTGATTCAGCCTGGTTTAGAGGAGCCTTAACTATTACCGTTCCCAAAAAATTCATGTATATTTCAGAAAAACAGTAATTGACAAAATCATAAATCCATACACAGTGTGAGAGCATATCAGCAAAAATAAATTATACAGTTTATTTTTCTTAAATATTAGTTAAATATAAAATTAATTTATTAATTTAACCATTGTAATTTATTATAGTACTAGTTTAACAAATTCCGTCACACTGTATTTATATTTGCTGATAATTCTAAGTTTGAAACCTGAAAAAAAAAAAAAGTCGGGGATCTTAGTTACAAAAATCACAATCTATACTCATCGATGGTCAAGAGATCCCCATTTTTTCCCTCTCAAGAAATTCCTAAGCACGAAGAGAGGGGCCTCCAAAGAGTGTGAATTGCTGATAAGAACGGACTACTGATAAGGAATGTGGCGTCTCTACGGAATAGTTACGAAGAAAAGAACCATATGACTTGCTACTATTACTAACTATTGTATAATGCTAGAATCTTATGAAAATAATAAATAAAGAAATTTAATGGCACTTTAGTGATAGAGAATAAGATATTGTATAGAGAACAGAATGTTACTTATCTGAATATTCCGTGTCAGGGTTTCTTTTGGATTTCTCGTGTTGATAGTAAACAGCGAACAAGATGATTGAAGATTCGAAGAAGGGAAGTTTCCTTTTTCAATTTGATGAATGAGACATTGCATAGGAAAGGTGCATTAAAC